AAGGGTAGTGATCCATTACAGCATGATAACAGTCGAGATGAAATGAGTCAGACCACTCCATTAAACCTGAAGCAGCTGTCATATTCCTGCAAACTAATAAATCCTTACTGCTCTGTATAGTGTCCTTGTGGGTCATTTTAATAAATATAAACCTGATATTGGTCTAATCTATTACGACTACCCTTGTTTCCCTTGCTTTACTAAATATTTCTGGTTCCCTCTTCCTGCAGTTGTGGCTGTTCTCCTTCAGACTGCAGTGTTAAATGGCCATAGTTTGTGGAATTGCCCCGCGGGACTCACCAAGGCACAACCAAATATTTACAGAGGAGCACATTCTTTAATCCACATCCCAGCCATCATTTGTCCCCTGCAGAGGCAAATGCGAAATATTTTTGGCACAGAGCACAGCAGAACGGGCGCAGAAGAGAGGTAGTGGAAGTCAGAGTTAAAGAGGCCCAGCATTACCAAATGTTGGAGGTTTAAGCATTGTAGTAAGATATATTTATATTTAGCATTATTTATTTTAAACCAATTCCATACAAAGTCCATATCCAACAAGTATTGTGAGGGTATGTTGATCCTGATGTTTTATTTCTCTCTGCCCTAGAACTTCATTCTTTTTTGGAGTATTTAGCAATATCGTGAATATTCTGAACAGCCAATGGGAGGATTTTCCAACTTCAGCGAGTAATACTATATATCCTCCATTTCAGATTCCCGTAACTTCAGGAGAATCTTAACCCTGATAAGCCTTCGAGACACAATGTCAGGGGATTTTTTTTAACTCAAGTTGAGGCAATATCAAATTCATATAGCCGTCTATTCACGTCGCCTGCTTTGAATTATGTAATATCGTCAAACATCCCCTTCACATTTGAACAAACCTTGAGTCAATCCCTCATTCAATGTCTTGCTGCTGGAAATCCTTGTGAGTGCACGAATTGTCTATTAATTTGCTCCTGAAAATAGTAATTTCACACAGAATTATATGTATTCCTTTTGCTATGAACTTAAGTACAGAGTAACATCTTCAGTAGGAATGAATAAGCATGGGGCTCGGTTGGGGATTCAACGTAATGAGAGACTGACTATGGCATTGTTGTTGTTTTTTGGGCACGATCTCTTGACAATAACAAAATTATAAAAAATGACAACCCTTATCCTTTAATAGGTTATCAAGGGTGAGTAATTACCAATATAAAGCTCATCCCCGCTGGGGACTGTCTGAATTACTTCAGACTCTCAAAGATTCATTGTTGATGAATCCCAATTAAAGAGTTAATTTTCCACACCACTGAGCTAACTTACCCTGTCCAACAACATACGGGACGGAAATACTAGAGGCTAGCAAGGGAGACAAAATCCCCCGAGAGGCATATGGTTGGGGGGTGGGGTGTATTCCTTTAGTACTATACCTTCCTCACGGACAACATACATGTGTATACTGTAGGCCTATCACAAGGTGTCCCAGGAGAGAGCAGTTGTCTATGAAATGGTTAAAACATAAAAAATGGAATTATAGATAGTATAAGCACAAGGCTGTTCGAGCTCCTTCCAGTTAAAACTAAAGCCACTACTTTCAATTTTCATTAATACTTTGCATACCCTAACCCTATAGAATACATTTCAATGGAAAAATGAACTGCCGGCATAAAAAAACAAACCAATGATATTGATGCAATCTGGAACCCATTTATTTAGTGGGAATGCTGTTAACAGCATTCCAACTAACTGTTCTTCTACGGACGAAAAGTTTATTATTATTCCGCCGACTTATTTCGCCGCGCTTCTCCTCCCGCATTGAACATCTCAGAAACTCTGTTCGAACATCAAAACGTTCAGCTCGGTCGGGAATCGATTGCTATTACTTTTCTCATTCATAACTTTCATAATTCCAGAGATACATCCCATAATACATCACATTTTTAACATGGAAGTCAATGGAGGAAATCTTCAGACTTCAACAAATCTTCATGCGACTTCAACTGCTAACTGTTCATTCATACTTTCACTCAGAAACCTCATTCTAACGTTAAAATGTTACACATCTTTCTGACATTATTCGTGTAAAACAACTTTTAAATCTGATTCTTGCTTTTAGAGATATTAAACATTGTTCAGACCTTGTTTTAGAGGTTTTCTTCACATTTTAATATTAACTAGAGTGCGTGATGTCACAGCTAGAGGGTAGAAAATCTTGAAATTTGCCTTCATATATTCTTTTTAAAACTGCCATAATTCCCAAACCCTACATTCCTGAGACATAATTTATCATGACAAACGTAGGAAAACATCTCGTAGCTTGAAAAATGACAAATAATTAAGCAAAAATAATTAAACAAATTTCTTTTTGAGGGCATGAAGTGACAAAAACGTTCAACATTCCTCCATTAAACCCCATGGTAATTTCAGGGAGATATTTCCTCACGGTAGCAGCCGCACACCTTTAGTTAAACTGCCAAAAAGGCCACATTATTAACCCAAAACTACACAAAAATTACACTTCAGATACTCAACTTCCTTGACATGCTTCACGTTTTGAAATTTCACAGATATCTGTTACGGTTCTTCCACAAAACGTTCACATGTAAGAGGTTCATCTCTCATTCAGAACAATGAAGCCTTTGAAGTCTAGGCACCTCGTTAGCTCAACTATAAACACCTGTGCAATGGAACACGATGATGTCATCACTCCAACTGACATGCTCAGAGCAGCTGACTTCAGAGAGCAGTGTGCAAACAGTCCAGCCGTGAAGACATCTACAGGACAGTTTTGAATTTTTTCAAATGCCGTTGCCATGGCAACACAATGTTGTTGGTCCTAAGACCCAAGCTAAAAAACAATTTCATGATTTTCCATAATATCTACAATTATTTAAAACAAATGAATGCAACACACCATGAATTTAAAATGTAAAATGAAAATATTTATTTATTATTTAAAAGTGCCATCGCAGCAATTAGGTTTCTCACCATACAACCTTCCCTCTGGAGTTGCCCAGAAAAAAAAAAAAAATAAATAAGGATTCAAAGCAGAAAGACGAAATCATGGAACGTGCAGCAAGTATATACAGTACACATTTCAATTATCGGAAAGTGCAATATTAAGTTTTGTCGCTAGCTCCAAAACTATGTACACACCATTTAAACTTTAAAATTAAATGAACAAAAGAA